TATATATATGTATCTCCCCCAAGCCAAGTAGGATTTGTTTTCACTGAATGCAAAGAGCTGGATATGAAGTTTTGAGTAGTATGAAATTTTGGGTGACACAAACAGTAACAAGGAGGTGCGATTCCCGTCTCTGGCACACCTGACACACCTGCTCTGCTTTGTGATGTCTCAACTAGCACACGGCCTGCTGAGGGCTGGGCACCAGTGTGGACTAACCAGTGTACAGTGTGCATTCCGACCAGAGGGGCTGAGGAAAATACCACCAGTGACGCCCCTCTTCCTGAATTCCCAGACTCCTGCCCTCTACTCCATTTACCCGAAGTGAGTAACTTAAGGTAGTAACTGGATTCAAACGGCTTGAGTGTCTTTACTCAGTACAAACCATCACAGCTGGTTTGCAAGCGGTTTAGATACAAGTCAGCACCCCAGTCAGTTTATAAAAAGCTTGTAAATTGGTGGTATAAAGCCTCAGCTCATCCCCGTGACGTCCACCAGAGTTGTTCACTCAGTACCTTCAGGTAGCAATCTCGTTGCTCTTCACCGAAATCGCTGTCTTCGTCTTCTTCATCGCTCCTCCAGGATAAAGGTTCTGGAAGTTTCTTGTTCCACTGCTGCTCAGCAAGGCCAGGGCTTATGTCTTCCTGATCATCCTGCTGTGCAAGGAGATGACCAACAGTGGTCAGCACATGCGCGGGCACACCGACCAGGGTCCCCTCTCCTCTGCCTCCGCACACTCCCCTGCTGAGCCACTCCCCTAAGTCCACTTCCCTCCCCAAATTCAAGGCCATTCAGGAAATGGCAGGGAGGACAAGGGGGAAGAATGGACAGGTCATAACGTAAGACCCTCATGGGGATGAGGGTAGAGGGGATGAGAGGGGCCACACAGGACATTGTAGGGCAGCAAGTCATTCACTAGGACACTCTAATGTGCCTACGTGACATTCTGTGTTTGTTAAAACCCACACGACTGTATAGGGCAGCCCGGAGAGTGAGCCCTCAGGTAAAGCAGGGACTTTAGTCAATGTCAATGTACCAAGTCATCAGTGTCACAAACATCCCACACAGAATCCGTGTCAATAACTGAAGAAGAAACTGAGAGGTCAGAGGGGAAGCTCCCTGTATTCTCTTCTCCCACTACTTTCTCGCAAACTTAACACTATTCTAAAGAAATAAAGCCTATTTCTAAAAGTATTCTCACATTTATCTACATCATCATCTATTTTCCCAGACCACAGCTTTCCCATTGAATCTATCAAAATGAAAACAAAATCTGAAAAGAGACAGACATGCATGTGCAGGCTGCAAGAACACTGTTAAGTGTAAAAGCTCAATTTAGGTGTCAACTTTTATGGGTAAAGAAGGCACATCCTGGGATTCTTTGGACAATATCAGATCGTGTGGGTAGGAATATATTGAGTAATCTCAAAAGACCTTATTCTTCCCATTTTTTATCTTCCTCTTCTCTTTATTTGAACATAACTATTGATCGAATGCATTTGTGGGCACGAAGAGAGAAGGTGCGGAAAGGAAGGGCAAGACTAACCACCAGGGATTTCTCACCTCTGCCACTGTGAGAATGCCGTACTGGATAAACTTCCCTACTGTCTCGTGGCAAACTTGGTAAAATGTCTGGCAAGGCTGGAAAGAAGAACCATGAGAGTGTAAATGCCACTGTCCTCTACTTCTGTGCCATGGTAGAAAAGTTTGTACCAGATAGTTGCTAAGTGCTTCCATCAGTCACTGACTTCACTCCACTAGAAAGTCCACTGAGCCCCAGCGGCCTCCCTGCTGACAAAACATGGTCAAAGTCCAGAGGACACTCTTAACTGACTGGCTGAGTGACTGATGCTGCAGCAACCACTGCGGGCAGGGCTCCTGAGCTCCGTTCTCTCCAACAAAACAGAGCAAGTCTTCTCTCTGCAGGAGCTGCTGAGTCCCCACCGAAGAGCTCCTTCCTCTTTATAAGCTCTCAACAAACAACCTTTACCAAAAAACACTGGATACAAAGGTGGTGGATGAGAGGATACAATATGCAAATGATTCCAGAAAGACTCAGGGAGAGAATCACAGCACACGAGGGAGTCTTGCTCACTTGTACACCCTTGTATCCTGCCACCCATTGTTCATGCAAAGCAGATTCCCCAGCAGGGTCCCCGTCCCTCAAAGGTAACGAACAACAGGGAGGAGCCCTATTCTCATAACACAGATCCTGACATACATTCAAAGACACATGCATGTCAACTGAAGAGACTATTAGTATTCAAGTAAACTCTGAATTCTACTTGTTAATGAGTTGAGGGAGAAACATCCCTGAACTGCTAACTATGTATGCCTCACTCAACTGATTGCTGCTGCAAACCGAAGCAGGTTTGTTCGGTAGAACATTCATGAAAGGCAAAATTAAAAGTGGTGTTTATATTAAACCAGAAGGTGAAATGTAACATTCTGATGCTGTCCATCAGGGTCCTCCTCTGTAAGATGAGATGGGTTGAACAGGGGGTTTTGAAGGCAATTTCTGACTGCTCCTTTCTCTGGTTGTCATCCATGGGGAGAGTGTGAATTATTTACTTACCCCTGACCCAGTGCCTCCTGCACAGTCATTTACTTTGGACCTGACTGACGACATTGAGCAATCTGTCCTATTACTCCTGCTTATTGCATGAAGGGTTCACTGGAGCAGTGACCCTGAGAGCAAACCAAAATAGTAAGTGGCCACTGTTGGCTTGGTGACCACAGAAATCAGATGTAGAGAGTAAACTTTCCATAATGGACCAACCACTCCCAAAGGCAGTTTATGTTGTCATGAAAATTCTCGAGAACAGAACAGGCTGAAAACGTAAAGGGAATCAACACTGAGGACTCTTCACTTACAAGTGAGATGGTGCCTTCGTTCGAGAGCAGGTAGCACAAGCTGGTGGCCTTCTGTATCAGCTGCTCCTGGCTGACCAAGCTGGGAGGGCTGCCAGCAGGCCCTCCCGGCCACCTCTTGTTCAGAACCGCGTACAAGCTGCAGGCTGTGCAAATGAAAAGCAATGAAGTCCCTCAGTTCTCAATTTCCGTGAAAAACCTTCAGCAGATTCTGATAACGTGGATTATTTTAACAGATTTTTTTTTAATACATCAAAACAATGGCCTGCATAAGCTGAAAGAAATGGAAGCGAATCCCCTTAGGGTTCATGCTTTTTTATTCCATTCAGTCACAGCCTCAATTTCAATCAGACACCTTGTCTACCAGCTCCGCTCCCACTCTCCTCCTCTATGACTCTAATCACACACAGGCCCTTCCATGCACTCTATTGCGACTGCCATGCTTGTGTCTTATCTCTCAATAATTAGACCTTACACTTCTGGTAACAAGACACCTTAATGCTACTTCTTACTGGCAAGTATAATACTATGCATGCAGTAGTTCAGAACCTACATGTTGAATAATAAACGTAAAAATAAGTTATAAACTGTGACCTTGTAGCAGATACAATTTTCACTTGAAAACTAAACATATAGCAATGCATTCTCTGAAACGAGAGGCTACCATCCAGATTGAAGCAGATACCACTGATGTGTGAGGCCCTTTTCTTTTCCATGAGCAAACATGAAATCCTTTCAGGATCTGACGTACCCAGGATTGCCTCCATGATGAAAACATGAAGGACCCCATTGCTGTAGAAGTTGAGTTCAAACACAGATGGCACGGTGGTGCTCGGAGTGATGAAGAACTCATCGTTCCTGCTGGTGTGGGTGATTGTGACGCAATTGCCCAGCAACTGAATGGCATGCATGACCACGTCTTCTGAATTTCCCGAGAATCCCAGGTCAAAATCACGAGCCAGGACTTCCTCCTTCATCACAAAGAAGTCTTCCACCAACGTGGAAAGATCAATTCCCTAAAGATACAGACAGAAATGGCCTTGTGAGAGTGGAAAATCCCCTTACCCCAAAAATGATTTGGTGAGGTGTGTGTGTTTTTTTTTCCTAGGATTTTTCTGTAGCTCATGGTTGACATATAAGAAAACAGGATCTACAGGATCTAAAGACCAATTCAGAAAACTGAGTAAGAAGTTTGGGCACTAAGAATGTCAGAGAAGGTATGACATCATACATGTTATGAGCACATTACACTCAAAGGGAAGGGAAAGCCATCTGAAAGCCACTAGGGTTCAATTTTTGGCAAGAACTGCTTCCTTTTTAAGTGTGCACTGACAAATGTTCATGTGGGGCCTATATACTGACACAATACTTAATGTTAAGAACTGTGAACAAGACAAACACGGTCTCTCATCAGAACTGAGACAAGAGAATTGTGGACTGACAACTTGGGAATGACGGCCTGGAGTCACGAGGCTCGAGGGCAGGTGTCTGTGTACACATTTTGGGAGCTGTCTTGACTGTATTCTGTTATTCATCTGGATTATAACCTTTTAACTTCCCTAATAAGGTTCTGTGTGGTCTGTGAGGTATCACGTCAGATTTTGAACCTAGCAACCCAGTAAGATTGGTGTTGAGATGAGTAGAAAGAGGAATGGGAGCATGTGAGACATGTCTGATCTAATGGGAATTGGTTTTGATGCCGCAGATGGTGACAGTTCCCCTTTGTGAACTGGTAGAGGTCAGATATGACCATCCCCATAAGGCCTTTTCTCTTTTTACAACAAGCCAGAGTGGATCCAGGCTATTAGTGAAAAGATTTTGTGTGGTTCACACTGTCTGCTTAGCTCTAGGTCATACTAGGTCATATAACAGACATACCTGCCTGTGTCTGTAAAGAAGCAGGCAGGCCACGATGTGTGTCGACATAATGGCACAGGATTTGCTGGCAGCTGGAAGGTAAAAACAAAGCTTCAGTTACACATCCATTTAAAGAAAGTATTTAAAATTATTTTAGACACCACACAGCAGCAACACTGGGTGTTTCGGCGGTGGGTATTTTGATAGCCACTTTCTTTTCCAACTTTTAAAAAATGAGAATGGATTCTTTTTAGAATCAAGGTTTCAAGCAGGGGAGAAACACACTCAAATGTGCTCAGGAAAGAATCTTGAGGCCCATGGTAAGGCAAGACCAGGTACAGATAGAGTGGAAGGAGTGAGAGAAATGACAGAAAGCTCCACAAAAGCACAGGAGACAGCCAGGAGCAGGCAGTCCCAGGGCTGAGCCCAGGTACCACCACGCTGCCACAGGATTTCAATCTGCCTTCACTCCAACATTACACCACACTGTAAGCTGGGACTGAATACTAATTCTGTAGTCAACTCACAGCCACTCTGAGTCACTCCCACTGGAGTTATCTGCTTACCAAGCGCAGAGATTTCTGAGTGCAGAGCCATTAATTACTCAATTCATACTCTCCACAGCTGAAGCAAAGTTCAATATATACTAGACACTCAATATTTTGCAAATAAGCATGGGATTAGAAGGGAAAGAGACATGTAACCATCAAGCCATAATGTCCCAACTCATAGCTGACTCTCCATCAGGTTGTCAGAGGCTGTAAATTGTATGGAGGGAAAACTCCTCATCTTTCTCTCACGGAGGAACTCATAGATTTGAACCAGTTGCCTCTGGGCTGGCAGCGTAACTCCTTACCACTACGTCACCAGAGCTCCCTATCAACTTGGATACTGTAAATTAGTTTAAAGAAATAGCTTTATGAGTTAAAAAAAAAGGCAACAAATTATTTTGATATTACATTTGATTATATTTTTATGCCCAAAGCTACTATTACTATTTGAGCACCTACTGTGTATGAGGGATCAGGGGAGATATTATCTCAAATCTCCACATCATCATTTTCTCTAATAACTATGTATCACCTCCCCAAGTATTAAGGGATAAAACCAGAACATGAACTCGAAACTCGACCACTGCAGTTTCTAACACCTATATGGTTTGCACTACACGCTGCTGAATCCAAACAGGAGAATGAGTGTGCTGTTGAACTTACTAAACAGAATGTGCTCAGCCAGGTTTGCAATCAACCTTCTTCGAAATGCTTCTTCTGTTGCATTTCTGGACTCATTAATGGAAGTGTCTGTACCTTCATTAGCAGCATCACTGGGCCTGAAAAATTTTTTAAAGTTTGTTTTTTTTTTTTTTAGAAATGAGGTTTCCATAGGTCCCAACTTTTAACAAATCAAACTAGATGGGACAAATGTGTACATATAATACAGACTTCCAGACCTACTAAAAAATTCATTGCTATTGTGATGGAACCAAGTCATAGTTAAACCTCCAAAGGATTTTCAGAGTCTGAAATCACAAAGGAGAGGGCCTACTTTTCTCCCACAGAGAAACTGGCAGATTTGAACTTCTAACCTTTGGATTGGCGGCACAGCTTCCTAATGAGTAAGCCAGCAGAGCTTCATTTAGAACCACTACATGGTGTAAATTTTAAAGTATAAATAGATTCTATATATAGTTGTAGGTTTTATGGGGTTTTTCTAACTTCTCTTATGTAATACACTTTATTGTGTTTAATATACTCTCTTGGCTTTCATTTTCTAAATAATACTCAAAGTACATATTATCTAGTATGAATAAACATTATTTTGGTATATTTAAAGTCTATTGTCAGCTTGGAAGGAGGAGTGGCATCCACTTCCATAATAGCTTGCCTCCAGAAACCCTATGAACCTGAAGAGAGGATGAAACGCACCCAAGCGTTGAGGACTCTCTTTCATAGGGTCGCTATGAGTTGCCTGCGATTTGACGGCACTTAACAACAACAACAACAAAATCTATTGTCAGACAGAAGGTATAAAGCAAGACACATTTTAAAGCACTTCTAAAAATATAACACTTCCATGTATTTAAGTAAAGGTTTGGTATTCTGTCTCCAATAATTCAGTTAGAATTCTTTAAATAAAAAGTCTTTCTATATGTTGCATTTTTACATAAAATGCATACCTAAGCACTTGCCGAGAGAAATTCAAACATTCAAAAAGCAAAGAAGGCTCTCCACATGATTTACACGGAAAAAGATAATATAATGTAAAGAATCAAAATCCTTCAAACTAACATAAAAACAAGCATTTTCAATAGCCTTTGGGATAAAGTTACCCGGGTGAGGAATAAAAACATGAAATACATACTCTTCGTAAAATGTATCTGACTTTCTCTATGCAATATATAGATACATTAAAAAAATAGTTTTGCTAGTTTAACTAGGTATAAAATGTCTATAGTCCTTACCTTGAAGGAAGTATAGCTGGTAACAATGCCTGCTCCAAAGACAGTGGAGAAGACGCTGGTTTCTGACTTTGGCTTTCTAAGTATTCCTGGGGGGAAAATTATAACATACCATTTACTCTCATTTTCATATCTATATCTCTATATCTATATATAGATATATAATTTCATCTCCCAAAAGTTAAGAAGAGTTGTTTATAAAATGAGGTATGTTGTGGAATATTAGAGATATGTTTCTATCTTCTGAACTAACGAAATGATTCATTCCTAGAATGCAATTAAGCCTAAATAGTGTAGACACAAATAACAGGGTGATGCTTTAGCAAGTGTTTGAAAATGAAAGGAAAATATTAATGTTTTTCACCTTGTGATGAAATTACTTGGTATTAATAATGATCATCAACATTATCAATTTTTAAAGAAACTGTGGTAGTATTGTGTTGTAAGCAAACTCAATTAAAAAGACAAAAGGATAAAAAAAAAAAAAAGACAAAAGGACAAAGGAGCCATGCAGTAGTTTTTATAAAAACGAAAGTAGGAAGAAATGAGGGTCTGGAAAGCTGACAGTATATAGACCCAAAAGCATTTACACAGCAATTAGAAAGGTAGACTCTTCAAGTAAAACCAAGAGGACAGTGAGAGGGCGAAGCATGACCTCTGCTGGAATCTCTCTTCTTTTCATCTCTCATCCTTTACCAATTTGAAAATTGTAGACATTTAATTGTTTACAACTTCAGGGACCTATCAGTCCCTGACTTTTCAACAAGAAACAGCACCAACCCTTGCTTGGGACATATGTGTGCTAGAGTCTAAAAAACAGGATAGAACATCATCTTAGCTCGCCATTTTACCCAAAACTTTGAAGGGAAGAGTTCTGAAATATCTCCCATAAAAGTGATTTTCAATAAAAAATTGTTTTTAAAACTGATTTTATAATACAAAAAATACACACACACATACACACAAATATACGCATATCCGCCATGCACACAACAAAATGAAATTGAAACTTCTTGTGATTTTAAAAGTCAAGTCGACATGATGGCACACAACCACCACCACCAAGAAATATCAACTCTCATGTTCCTCAAGAAGTCACTCTCCTTTTATAACTTTCAGACTTCACTGGAAAAACGTAGGATGCACTGCTCTCATAAAGGTTTTCATTTCAGGGGAGAGGAAGAAAGCCCCCAAGTTATATGCTGTTGTTGTTGTCAGATGCCTGCCACTGATCAACTATGACTCATAGCAACCATAAACACAACAGATCTCAGCCTGGCCCTGACCTGCACCATCCTCATAGCCTCTGTCATGGTCAAGTCCAACAGAAAAGTAGTATCAGAGCCAGAACTAAAGCCCAAGTCTCCCGAGTCCAGATCAATGCTTCTCCAGCTTCATTTCAATAGATACTCACCTTTAAGGAAAATGGCTGTGCAAAGTCCACTCTGACGCAGCCATAGTTTTTCCGGAGCATTCGAATAACACCTCTTGCTACACTCCAAAGGCTCTCATTCTTCTTGGGTTTGCCCTAAAGCCCAATGTGGAAAGAATAATATGGTGAGAAATGAGGTTTTCATATATGCAAACAGTCTCTTAGCCAAATATTTGTCATAGCAATTGAAGGTTCATATTGAGAAAGACATCTTTAAATAGAGAAAAATCATACATTAACAGAGACTGGTGAGAAAATGTTCAGCATTAAAACATGCCAAAATTTGCAACTCTGCTTGGGAGAAATCATTCAGGCACGAAAGGAGAAAATAAACAAAAACACTACACTAAAAAAACCCCAATCATTTAACAATAATTCCTTTCATACAATGTTCACATGATTTAAAAATTACAACTCTGTTAGAATGGAATAAAAAAGCATATTGCTGTGTACTGCTGAGTCAGAACAAACCAGCAGCTGACCCTCCAGTGGATTTTCAGAGGGAGGGGACTGCCCACCTTTCTTCTGTCTTGCCACTGGTGGATTTGAACCACATGCTGGTGGATTGGTAGCGCAAGTCCTTACAACTAAGCCACAAGTTGTTGTGTGCCATTATGTCAGAACTGACCCATAGCTGATCCTCCAACAGGCTTTTAGAGGCAGTTAGTCGCACGGGAGAAGACTGTCAATCCTTCTTCTGTGGAGCAGCTTGTAGATTCAAACCATGTGACTTCGGGGTAACAGCACAGATTTGTATTATCTTTTTGAGTATTTGTTGGGTATCTGCGTAAAACGCAACAAACGAGGTATGCCTGTATATAATTTTATGACTATTAGTTCCACTCCCAGATAGTCCATAAACGCATCCATATAGTCAAGAGACATGTAAAAGAATGGTCAAACCCATACTGGAGGCTACTTAAAAATTTTGGTTTTCAGGAAAGGGGAAAGATCTGGTGTGAAAAATAATGTATACAAACTTTGTAGGTAAACTAGTATAAAATAAAAATTTAATTAAAATTTTTTTGTGTTGTTTTCAGGATAGATAAACTATGGTATATTAATATATTGGAGAAATGATGTCAGTTTGAGGACTAAGGTGTGTCTGATTCAGGCCATGCATCTGAGAACTCGACAATAAACAAGAATGATAGAAAAAGAATTGATGCCTTTGAACTATGAGGTCGGAGAAGAGCACTGAATATCTCACAGCCTGCCAAAAGAACAAACATACGTGTTGGAGAAGATGCAGCCAGAGTGCTCATTGGAGGCAAAAATGATAAAACTTCTTCTTACATACTTGGAATGGTGGAGCAACAGTGACGGAGAGGAGGACCTTCAACCAGGTAGGATGTCACAATGACTCTAGCAATGGGCTCAATCAAGTGTGTCAGAAATTGAGAGGATGGCACAGGATAGAACAGAGTTAGGATCTGTTGTTCAAAGGGTCGCTATGAGTTGTACTCAACTTAGTGGACCTAACAACAGTAACATGCAGCTATGAAAAGCATAAATTACAACTATAAGCAATAACATAGATGAATCTCATAAATAACTTAAGAAACTAGACCTACACAAAAGCACACACTACACTGTCCCATTTCTATAAAGATCAAAAATGGACAGAATGAATCTAAGCTGTTAGATGTCAATCTGAAGTGATTACCCTGCAACGGATGGTTGATGAGGGAAGGAGCAGGCACACAGGCAACTTATATCTGGGAATATTGTCACTTGATCAGTGTGACAGCTATAGAGATGTGTTCACTGTGGAAATCCACACTTCCTGCCTACAATTTGTACACACTTGGAAAGGTGGAGGAACAGCAAAGGAGAAGACGACTTTCAATAAAAATCTACTCAACTGCCATTTCTCATATTAAGAAGCTTTGATAGTGCTGCAGTTAAAAAGCACTGTTGGTAACCAAAAGCTCACTGGTTCAAACTCAGTAATCATTCTGTAAGAGAAAGATGGTCTAACCTGTTTCTGTAAAGAGGTGGCCTTGGACGTCTATGAGCCAGATCTACACTGGCCCACAGGGTAGCTATGAGTTGGAATGAGTTTATTCCTCAAAACAATCTGCAGTTGCCTTGCTGACATGACCACACCAGGTCTTCAGGTTAGCTTAAAATCTGCACATAAACAGTAATCCCTGGGAAACAAAAACCACATTTAACCCTCACGATAAATATGGTATGAAGCTCTGCATATCATATCCAAAAGCTCGGCATTTTGAATCCACCAGTCACTTCTGGGAGAAAGAGGAACAGTCTCTTCCTATGAAGACATCTCTTTCTTTTCCCCATTGCCATCAAGTCAGAACTGACTCACAGGTGACCCTCCTCCAGCAAGTTCCTGTACACTGCAAGGGGGATGGAGGGGTACATATTGCCCATCGGTTTCCCATGTAGCAGGTGGTAGATTCAAACCACCTGCCTTTGGGTCGGCAGTATAATTCTACCTGTAGGCCACCAGAGCCCCTTTATAAAGCCTTACAGCTTTGGAAACCTGACAGGGGGTTTGCTCTGAGTTGGAACTGACTTAGCGGCAGACAGTGCGCATCAGTGGGCAGTGTTCATTCATTTCCCAAGCCTTCAATCAAGGCCAATACTGAGAAATCTAATCACGTCCCTCGTTCCACAAGGAATCCAAGTGGTGCAGGGGTTAAGTACCAGGCTGCGACCCTAACAGGTGACGCTATGAACACACGAGGTGCTCTGCAGGAGAAAGATGTGGCAGCATGCTTCCAAAACATTGACATCCTTGGAAACCTCATGGGGTAGTTCTGCTTTATCCTTTAGGGTGAGGAGCAGGGAACAGACTCAACAGCACTGAGTGTGTACTTTTGGTTTGGAGACCCTCAGAGTGCAAGAGAGTTAGCACTACCAGTCATGTTGACAGACATGGGATGAGAGCCACTCATCATTGTCACTGTGCCACATTTTATACAGTGCCTTAAACTTGTTGTTGTTGTTGTTGTTGTTAGGTGCAATCAAGTCGTAGAGGACTCATAGCGACCCTACGAATGAAAAGCCTGAGCACTGTTCATAGAGTTTCTGGAGGCAAGCCATTTCAGGATGGATGCCACTCCTGCTTCAGGTTTGTTTTAATCAGGAAGCCCCAGCAAACACTGTCCACTATGGGTAACCATTGTTGTTGTTGTTGTTGTTATGTGCTGTGAAGTTGCCTGCGATTCACAGCGACCCCTATGTACAACATCCGTAAACTCTGCTCTGTCCTGTGCCAATCGCACCGTCTCCGTTCGTTACTATTACGTTGGCTGATTTCTAGGAACTCCATGTACTACAACCCTGAAAGATTCTCAGGAGAGGCCAGTGCCTAGAGAAACATCCAGGAGGGGGTTAGAGAAAGAGCCTCAACAAGAAGGAATGAAACATTGGCTACAACAACGCGTTTAAACACAGCAGAGATTGCAAAGATGGTACCTGAACAGGTATGGTTTTGTTTTGTCACCTCAAACTTAGGGACAGTAATAAAACTTAATCATTGCTAATTCTAAAAGCACAGGCCTAAAAATAAAAGACTGGAAAAACAAAGACAGCTTTGGGTAGTCGGTCCTCTTACCAGTTGTTCGCCATTGTAGTGACCTTCAATTATACGATCGTAGGAGATGCCCACAGGTATAATCAAGATGTCGGGGATGGTGTTTGTGGACAGCGTGTCGACCACCACCGACAGGAGGCCTGCCCGAGCACAAGAGGTTTTCCCACTCCTGGAGCGCGTGCCCTCCAGGAAAATCTCCAGGAACTGCTGCTGTCGAAGTAGTTCAACGATATGCTAGATTACAAGGGAAAAACAAAATGTGACTTGAAAATAGGAAACCAATTCGAGATGAGCTCAGTCAAACGACGTTGTAAGAAAATCAAAAACCAAACAAAGAAAGTACAAGTTCAATATTGATGTAACATTTAACAAATTAAGAGGGTTAAACCAGGCTGCTCCTTCGAGGCAAGGATTCTGGGGCTTTGTCTGACATACTTTGAACATGTTGTAAGGAGGGACCAGTCCTTGGAGAAGGACATCATGCTTGGGAGGGTGGAGGGACAGTGCAGGAGGGGAAGACCCTCTATGAGGTGGATTGATTCAGTGACTGGGATAATCGGGATGGGTGTGTCAGAGGCAATGCGACTGGCACAGAATAGAGCAGAGGTTAGGCTGTTGTACAGAGGGTCGCTATGAGTCGCAAGCGACTCGACAGCAAGTAACAACAACAAATAAGAAGGTATTCCACCAATGGTAGCTTTAGGTGTTAACAAAAAAGTCATCAGAATCCACCAGATTCTTTGCTGGAGAAGGAGAGACAATCTCCTCCTGTACCTGTCAGATCTGATTTGACGGTACACACAAAATAATAATAATAAAAAATTTAAATAAATTTAAAAAAAAAAGAGTCATCAAACTCACAGGTAAAGAATAATCATTCAAATCAACAGTTAATACGGTTGTTTGGTTTTGGGTCTTTTAAAAAAAGCTCTCCACTCGAGCCTTTTTCCCCCTTCTTCTGTGATAACTAGTACAATGGCTACGAGGCTAATTAGCGAGTACACATACCCCATGTAACAAAGCTCTGTACAGAACATCTTTCCGTCCGTCTGGTGTCTCATCCAGTCTCCGCCGGATGAAAAAGCCCCCAAGCTTATGGATCAGGGTACTATAAATTTAAAAATGCATTCATTATTTACCAAGAAAAGCAGAGATTTTTTTTAAAAAAAAAAAAGCTAAAATGCCAAGGCACCCTAAAACATTCGTCATTGAGATTTGTCATCAGATACTTGTAAACGACACTATCGTTTGGGCTATCGAGTGGCATGTGATCATTTGTCCACTCTCCATGTTACTGACATGTCTCAGTCATAGTCGTTACTCACTGACTTTAGACTGACCTTTGCATGGTGAGGTTCTCCTAAATGTGTTCCAACTCAGAAGGAGTTTGTTGGTATGGTATAGACAAGGCAAAGGTAAAGCCTTCAAGAGGATTATGGATCTCCCCTGCTAAATTATTTGAAAACCCTATGCAGGGTCCCAAGACCCTGTTAAGACATTCTGAAATCTGCTCCATGCACATTCACTACAGGATGGACGTGCTGTTAATAAAGCTTCTCAGGAACTTTCTGTAAAATAACTATCACTTAGTGTGGGAGCTCTGGTGGCCTAATCTTTAGGGAGCTGCACTGCTAATCCAAAGTCTGTACCTCTCCAGTGGTTTGAACCCACTGGCAGCTCCAAGGCAGAAATGTTAGCAATCTCCTCCTGTGTGATTTATAGGCTCAGAAAACTCACTGCTGAGTCAACTAGGAGTCGGACTCAATATGAATGTGTGGAATTTCGTAGAGTGTGTCTGTGAGGCAAGGATCAGGCTGGCAAACCGAAATCTAGCTCAAATAGCATCCTACAACATGACACAAAATTTGGCTTCATTTACACCACACATAAGAATTAAATAACTTTCACAACATTGTGCCTCTTTCTGTACTTTTGATGAATTTCGATATGAAGTAGAAATTTTCTAATACTTAAATTAGCCTTTCAAAGTCATAGCTTCCTACTGTACTCAAACCAAGAGACACTACTGTAAAGATAGATTCTTGTCCCTAAAAAAGCCAGTATTCCCTCAAGGGTCATATCACACCGTGTTAAGCTTTCAGTTTGTAATACTTATTAGAAGATAAGCTAAGTGAGGGCAAGGACTACTAGCTTCTTCACCCTTGCTAAAGCACAGGCATAAACATCAGTTAACTGGAACGAATGGCTTTCCTTCAGTCAATCTCTTAAGTCTGGTTAGTCAAGGTGTTTGGAAAGGAGTTCCTTAGGCTGAGAAACAGATTTCACAGCATAATAAATGTCCATGCATTTTGTCCTCCAGTGAGGTCCCAACGGCAGAATCCACCCGTTCACTTCCTTGTCAAATGCTCTCCAAATTGTTCCTCTTCTTACTCTCTATAAGATGCTTTAGGCTTTCATGTTTGAAACTTCAATTTCCCAAACAACATAAATATTCTTATTGCGGCTGTCAAAGGAGCCAGTCTGCCCCGACTCACAGTGACCTCACTGTACAAAAGAACATGAAACGTGCGATCCTGTGCTGTCCCCACAATCACCGCGGAGGGTGTGCCCCTTGTGTGGCCACTGGGTCCGTCCATCTCACTGAGCGACTGCCTTTCTCTGGCTCTCTACTTTACCAAGCAAATCCTTCCCTAGGGATGGGCCCTTTAGACTTGATAACATGTCTAACATATGAGGTGAAGTCTCATCAATTTTGCTTCTAAAGAGTATTCTGGCTCCGTTCCTCATCAATTCATCAGTGACTGGCCCCACTATCTACCTAGTATTCCAGGAAATAGGTGCTTGAAAGCCTAGTCCGTTACCTAGACTACTCCTTGTTGTTGTTGTTGTTGTGTCAGAACCAACCCTCCAGTGGGTTTTCGGAGGCAGTTAATCGCACAGGAAGGGAGTGCCCATCCTCCCACAGAGCAGCTGGTGGATTTGAACCACTCGCCTTTGGGATTACAGCAGAGCTTCTTGCCACGAAGCACCTAAGTCTGTACATTAAACTGTCAATTTTCAAATCTCAGTACTCCTCTCCAAGATCACTACTGCACATCTTTAATATAAGCATCAATTATCTCTTCATCACACCACTGCAATACAGTCTTAAATTTATCTCACTCCCTCTATTCCAGAACAATCTGTTGAAAAGATCTGAACACGTCACTCGCCAAGCGAGGGCCCACTCCAAACTCTTGGTTTCAAAACTCAAAACAAGAATGAAACTCTTGTCTTGATCAAGCTCTCAGTATCTTTGCAGTTTGCACCTTTGGCCTGTGCTACTGCATCTTACGTTTGATCCTCACCAAAGCACCTGGCATTTCCTGGGCACATCATGTCCCTGCATCCCCCCAGCCGTTGCATATACTGTCCTCTAAATGGAGCACACAACACTGTCTTAAAGTTGCATGTTTCTAGCAATTGTTGTTAAGTGTCGTTGAGTTGTAGACGACTAATAGCGACCCTATGAACAAAAAACTTGAGCACTTTTATAACTTTCTTCATTTCTCCAAGTTCGTAGAGTTTCCGGAGGTAAGCTGTTTCAGAAGTGGATGCCACTCCTGCTCCCAAGCTTGTTTCTAACAATTATGAGATGAAAAATATAAGTGTGTCAGTATTATTTTTATACCACCACCATTCCCGATTCCTCCTCCCCAGAGCTGAGCCTGATTTTGTCTAATTATCTTTTCAATGATTCTTAAATATTGACTATAAAGATTATGTGTTTCCACTTTCACCAAGTTCCTCATATAAAACACAGTAAGAGATGCATTCTACAACAGAATGGGACTGACATCAGAGTTGGGGTAAGAATGAGAAGAAACTGGATAAACTATGTCTACTGCATTGAAACAGATGAGGGAAAGAACAGATTAGAGGTGATATATGACTGAGTATTATGGTTAACACAGGAGTCCAGGACTAAGGTTGCATAGAGACGTGTACTCGGTGCAGGGGAGGCGGGGTGGGGTGGGAGGTGGGAGTGGGGGAAGGGATGGGGGGGAATTGTATACCAATGAAGGAATTTTTTTTTTCTTTTCAAAGAGAGGAGCGAACTGGTGGGGAGTGGTGGGCAGGGAGAAAAGTGCAACAATGAATGAATGGAAATCCAAAATCTCCGTAAATGGTTATTAAAATTAATAAAAAAAGGAAAAAAAAAAGAGATGGAGTCTCAATGATTTTCTGTATTTTCCAAAACAAACACGTATTATCTTATCAGAGAAAACAGGCTGCCACTATATACACAGCAGCATGTATCAAAAAGGATAATGATAAAGGAAGGGAGCTCTGGTGGCCTAATGGCAAGAAGCTGCACTGGCAAACACAGAGGTATGTGGTTCGAATCTACCAGATGCTGTGCTGGAGAAGGAGGGGCAGTTGCCTCCTGTACCAGTCAGATCCGATTTGACAGTACACACGCAAAAAGAATAAAATTTTTAAAAAGAAAAAGAATAATGATAAAGTAATAAAAACTCACACATGAACTTTTCCAATCGTTAAAGTTCAAAATTAGCAGCTCTTACCTGAAGATGGGGATATTGAGGTTGTTGCCTGATGCAATGTACGGTGCTTTGATGTTATGGCAGAAAAGCGTGAACGTGAGCAGCAGGTAGTCAATATGGGATCTGTGAACCGGCAGAAATATAAGCGGCAAATTCATCTAGTGGGGGAGAAACACCAAATTTCAAATTCAAATATGAAAATCACGTTTCACAACTTGCTCTTTAGACACGGGCTAATCGATCACTCATTCTTTTAAAAACATTTTCTGATAATATAAACTTCTCTAACTTTCATAAGTAGTGAGCTAAAACAAAATTAAGCAAGTAAGAATAAACAAGAGTTGAGGCGAGAGAGTTGTTGTCAAGAGAAGCCTCCCCGCCTACCCCAGGTCTTCGGAGCAGAAGCCCCTTCCATGTATAAAACGCCCGAGGTCTGGTAGGCAGGCCTCAAGTCACTGGTTAGTTGGGACTGAGCCCTTCTGTCCTCATCTCTAAAGCCTGCCTGAGTTCTCAAGTGGCTGTGAAGCGAGGTAAAAGGAATCCTGTACAGCACTGGAAGGTCCTCCTTCACCCCACTTCTCCCTAACGCACAGCCACGGCAGTTAAGCCAAATGGGGAGAGTTCTAAGTGGGTTGAGATACATTACAGGACGTAAGGGATTTCCAAAAGCACGGTAAGACCGCTCTGTAAACACAAAGTCAAAGCAATTCTTGCCTCAGTTGCAGCTTTAACCATCTCGAGCTGGCCCTTGTGGATCTGGATGTTCCAGAAGAAGCTGTTGAACAGTTTGAGCAGCACCCACCCAGTCAGTCTGCACGAAAGGAAATGCACAGAGACTTTTTTTTATTTCTTTTTACCAATTAAGAATTAATTTTAGAGTCATCAATGGGTAAAAAAAAAAATCCATCAAAACCATAAAACCAACAACCAAGTAATAACTGGGGAGCTTGAAGCAACTTTAAAACACAGATATACATAAGAAGAATATATCTGATTTGCGAGACTACAAAAACTAGTGAAATATAAGTACAACTTGAGTCTCACAGGAGAGGAAGGATTATAACTTGCTAGAAGAAAGATTTGAAAAAAATAACTGATGGCATTTTAACACTTACAACAAATATCAATTCAGAGACTAAATAAACCCATAAAAATAATTGTTTCTGCATGGATCATTTACTCGGAATTTGTCTCCAAATATGGGAAGGCCAAAGAATGAAGTTAACAATTCTGGAACTAGAGATTTAGGATTAAAAGGCACACAGAATTAAGATGAGACCTGGGTAAGAGAAAGGCTCACCGAAGTCTCTGAGACCAGTCATGAGAAGGAGTGCCTTTTACGGATTTGCAAAACAAAGGTAATTTCATCCCAGGACATAAGACCTCCAAGGATACTTTTACAAAGGTGTTAAATGAGAGTAATTTAGCCAGCAGAAATGAACTGCTATAAACCAAGAGTGTAGATAAATTTGGCCTTGCAAAACCTGTTTTTCCTTACAGACCACTTGCATATTCATATAAGTGACCTCTTTTTTTTCCTTGAATCTGAAATCTAAGTGCATCTGTGTGTGATTGCACGTGTGTGCACATGTGCACTTTCACAGCGTGTTTCTGTGTGTAAACTGTAGAGTTGAAAAAGTGAACATAAATTTCTTCTTACCAGACTGAAATGCTGCATTTTCCTCTACCGGGCCAGGTTACACCGCGGAAGCAAATGAAAAGTGAATCCCTAGGTAACCGAACAATTCCTCCAAGATAGAAAAATAGCCCCTCTCAGGACATGGGTGAGTGCGCCCTGGGTCACGGGTCTCTGCGTGCAGTGGGGATGCCTGCAGTGATAACCGCAATTGCCCCAACCAGCCAAGAGAGACAGGACCCTGAGAGCCCACCATAGTGAGGTGAGAGGGATTTAGAAAGGGGAGATGATTTTGGCATCAGAATGTTGAAACAGACAGAGGACAGGAAGGAGTGACAGGCAGGAAGGAGGGAGGGAGGGCACAGCCAATGGACTGACTCCCTGGAGACCACACCCCCAGAACTCCCTAATAGAGCAGCTTTCTTTGCTCAAAGCCGCCTGGCTCTTTAAAATAACCATTTAGGACTTCCATCTTACATAAGCATGGCAGAATTTCAAACACAGAAACCTGGGAATCTGTGTCACACGTTCACTCTACACGTTCAAAAAGGCTCAGCTTAAGGAACTAAAACAATTTTGGAAAATGAGTGGCAGTTGTACCAATTAATGGTAGCTTGACATTCTACTAAGTATTAGAAGGTCACAGGTGAAAGAGGACATAATAAATGTAGAGAAGGCAAACCCACAGTGTTGGGAAAAGGTAAAAATAGAAGAAAGATATTTTAATATGGATTTTTAGGCGTTTTCAGGCATGTATTTCTGACAATAGGCAGAAGGGAGTACAAAAAGAAAGAAGTAGAGCCCCTATCTTTTGCTTTTCTGCAGGAGTCCTAATGGCATAGTGGATTAAGAGCTAGGCTGTTAACGCAAAAGGTCAGTAGATCGAATCCACCAAGCAACATGGCCCTTGCTGAGCATCTCGCCTTCGAGTACCTGATCATGGCTGGGGAGACGGTGGCGACCATCTCCTGCAGGATCCCTCTGGCCCTCTTCCGCACTTTACTCATGGCCTTGGACTGCTGCTGAGCAGAGCCATCGGGATTTAGCTCAGTGGCCACTTCTGCGATTGCCTCCTGGACTCTGATTTGAAATGAAGAGACCGACAAGGTAATTGGTTCTAGATTACATTCTGTTTTCAGCATCTTCTAAACCACAGCTGTAAATCACAAAACAAAATGTATCTTCCCTTTAATTTGTGGTAACAAGAGAAAAAGAGCTTTGAGTTTCAAGTACTCTTTTCCTGAGTACCTATTAAATATTATGAATATCATATTCCTAAATCAATGAATCCCTCAGGAACCCCAAAGACATTTTTAATAATTCTAAATCGCAGGAGGCAACAAAGTGCAAGGGACCCTGGCTGTGAGGGACACATAGTGAAACTTTAACAAGATAAAGAAAAAATAAACTATCTCTCTAAAAATATCATTCAGAGGCTTTCAAAACCTATTGCCAAAGTCTGATTTTTTCCTATGAAGACCTCATTTACATTGAGACGCCATTAAAAGAACTCACTGCAAAGCTTCTTGGGAGGGATCAGACCAGGATTAAAATTTACAAATATTTTCCAAATCTAGCCAGCAATTTTTTTAAAAAAAGGCACAATTTCACACAGCAATAAACAATAAGCAGTGAGATAAAAGGAAGGTTTAATCAAATTGTATAAATCTTCCAGTGGACTTAAAGAAGGAAAGTGTAAAGTTAAACTTCTTTCAATCAATCCTGACACTCCAACTACTATTCCCAATATCTGGAAGATATTAAATAGATTTGAAGTTGTGTGACTCTTTTCTGGATTTTTGTTTGGTTTTTAGGAAGTAAAAACCCCATCTAATAATCCAAGGGAGTTTCAAGTAACTCTCGCTCATGGAGCAAAGTGCAAGGTAGCAAAGTGCACACAAGTGAATGAATACTCTGTTAATATAAAAAGACAAATTCTGTAGCACACTGGTATGCTACCCTTTGCACAGCATTTCTTTTAACCCAAGCATTTGTATTATGTTGTAAAATTTATCAAGGAACTCAGGCAATCTCTGCATCTCCGAGCTCCCGGGTGTTTTTCACTCAATAGAAACGTAGTCAATTATTAATTGATAAAACAAAAGCCTGCTATTCCCGAGAGGCTCTGTTAACCAAAACCATCTGTTCTCCTCCTTTTCCTTTGGAACTCTGCATTTAGCATTTGTTGTTGTTAGGTGAGGTCAGGCTGGTTCCACCCATAGCAAGCCTACATACATACAGAAGGGAAAACTGCCAGGCCGCGTGGGAGCTTCACAAAGTGGCTGTTTGGGCCCACTGCTCCAGCTACTGTGTTAAACCATCCCACTGAGGGTCATTCCCACTGACGCTCCACTAAGCACGATGACTTGGAAATGCAAAAATATCCTGAGACAGAGTCCCCGAGAAATTCGAAGTCAATACGGGAATGGTCCCTCCTCCCTTCCTTCCAGCACCCATCCCTGCCACCTGCCCCCCTCCACCGCGACATCCCCACCCTTACTTGCTGCTGTTGAACACGTTTTCAGCCACATTGGTGGCAAACATGCCCTTGTGGACATCGCGCTCTTGGACAAAAAGCACGTAAGAAAGACGTCTCGCAAGCCATCCTCGGTGCCTGAAACATAAAACGATGGAGGAATGAACCATGGATTTTCTTCCCTAGCTGTGCGACAATCCCGAAGGCTCAGGGTTCGAATCCACCAGCAGCTCCACGGGAGAAGAATGGGCAATCTCTTTGCCTCTGAAAACCAGCTGGAGGGTCAGCAATGGGTCAGTTCCAACTCAACAGCACACAACAACAGTAACATCTAAGACAAGTTGTGTCCGTTGCACAGTGGTCACCCTCCTGTGAAAGCCAAGCCTCATTTCATCCATTTCTGAGATTTTAACTTCTGCCATGGCGAACCCCCCTAGCAGCCTAGTACACCACCCACATCATCTGACTCACAATTCCTTCCATGGGCTCTCAAAGAAATATAAACTCGAATTTCTGTGCTAGAGCTGGTCAGTGCTGCTCTGCCCAATGCTAGCTCTAATCTAAAAACAGAAGTAAATAGACCTAATTTTACTGCTTTTGTTGTTGTGTACCATCAGAACCGACTCATAGCTGCCCTGCAGTGGGTTTTCAGAGGCAGTTAATCTCACGGGAGGAGAATGCCCACCCTTCTCCAGGAGCCCCTGGTGGCCTCTAAGACTGCATGCCTTCGGGATTGCAGCACAGCTTATTGCCAAGAAGATGCCAGCGCTCCTGAATGCCATGAAAAATGACAAATATGTTAAACACTGGAGGCTATAAAAACATGTATTTCCGAAATATTTTTCTAGTAAGAAGGTCTATTTTTTCTATGGAAAAAAAAAATGAAGAATAACCACTGACTCTCAAATTCTCGATCAACTAAGAGAAGTTCAGGATACTTGGCCCATGGTCAGGACATCTGTGAACTAACTTCATGTGGCCGGAGGGTCTGACTTCTCCTTTTACGGCTCAGCATACCTAAGGGTCAGGGCACAGTCCCTGCTGCAGCAGTTAGCTGGCCTTTGGGGGAACCTGGATTGGGGGGATGAAGGAAGATTCGGAGACAGATCTCAGAATAAAAGCTCCAGATCCTTGGCCTATTATGACTGGGAACCATGTGTACTGATTATATAATGCTTTATTAGCATTTCCTCCACAATTGCAAGCTCATAAAGAGTAGAATAAAAATTCACTTTAATTCTAAGAGGATCCAAAAGCCCTCAATTGAAGAAAAACAATGTAACAAAGAAATGTGTATAAAATCACTTGTTCCTTTATCTCTCCCTTCATGTTACCCCCTTTTCTTTCTTTTATTTCAAGTCTTTGATAACTTAGCCCAAGCATTTAATTCTAAGCTTTATCCTTCAGTGAACAGGTTCAGAATTTTTACTGGAATGTTCAAAGTCCAAGTTCTCTATTAAAAAAAAAAGATGGAAAGACTGTGTGTGTGTGTGTGTGTGTGTGTGTGTGTGTTTAATTCTAAACTTTATCCTTCACTGAACAGATTCAGAATTTTTACTGGAATGTACTCTTTATAACAAAAGACGGAAAGAGTGTGTGTGTAAAAGACGGAAAGAGTGTGTGTGTAAGTGTTTATTCTCTGCCTCATATAACACACAGAAGGGCCAAAGCAGCCAGCTCAACAGCAGAAGCAGCTTTCTGTCTTGAGTGGGAGTATCAGATTGCCAGTCTGTATATTTTATGCTGCATTTTTTTAACAGCCTCCAATCACAGTCAACAAATAAACCCTTTGTCTTTTACATAAAATGGCTATTTACATACAGGAGAGGCTTTATGAAATTACCAGGCTGGAGGATCAGCTATGAGTTCATCTCAACTCAGCGGTAAACAACAAAAAGCAGGATCATAATCATGAAAACAAAACGGGGTGGGGTTTAAACAAATCAATCCCTCCTTTTCCCTAAAATGTAAAAGAGAATATGAGACAAGGGTAATAGAGAAAAGCGAAGGGGAAATGTCTGTTCACTTCAGTTGTATAAAAACCGAATGAACACATATGCAGGTGTTACAATACTTCTCATTTTTGACCTTACATTACCAAAATAAGGCGACCTCGTGGTGCAGACGCTTTAGTGCTTAGCTGATGACTGAAAGGTCTGTGTGGTTTAAATCCACAGTTGCTCCACAGGATAGAGAGCTGTTGCTTTGAAAAGCTACTGCCCACAAAAGCCTACGGGCAGTTCTAGTCTATACCATGGGATCATAACAAGGCAAAAATGATTCAAGGGCCCCAACCACGTCCTCAAAATATGACACGTCATTCCAGAAAGCATTCAAATTTAAGTATTTGACTTGTTGTTGCTGTTAGGTGTCCTCAAGTTGAATCCGCCCCTCCAGTGGGTTTTCAGAGGCAGTCAATCGCGTGGGATCAAAGTGCTCATTTTCTCTTGTGGAGCAGTAGGTGGATTCGCACTGTGTGCCTATTTGATTTCTGACATGTTTTGTTTTGTTTTTTCCAGAGAACTTAAAGTCTTTTTAATCACTTCGGTGTACTCTCTACGCACTCTCAGAATCACCCACTTTTAGAACATGAGAACTGGGGCACGCTCGGTTACAGTCTCTTCCTTACCACACAGACACAGACACATCCACAACCCCCTCCTACTCTGCTTCCTCCTGTCTCTTCTTGGTTTACACAGAGCAAAGCTCCTTTACTTCCACTCTGGAGTGTACTGTCCTAGCTCCATGTGGTAGGAGTTCAGAAATAAGAATTCTAAAGCATTCTTAAGTAAGTAATCAATTAAAGAGTATTTTTCAGTCTCTCATTGCTGTTAAGACGGAACCCCTTTGTAGCTGACCATCCAGTGGGTTCCTGGAGGCTGTCGGTGGCACAGGCAGTGAATGGCCATCATTCTCACTTTGGCCACCGGGGGGTATGAACTCCCAGGGAGGTGTTGTTGACTGTGGGTTAACAGTGCAATTCCCTCTGTACTATGCCACCAGTGCTGTTTCTCTTAATAAAGAAAAACATTTTCCTAATATCCTATAGATTTAAAACCAGCTACTCTGAGTTGACTGTGACTCTGTAGGAAGAAAGAACTGTCCTGCAGGACTTCGAAGGGAGCTCTGGTGGCCTCGTGGTAAGGAGCTGCACTGTGAACCCAAAGGCATGCAGTTCAACTCCACTATCGTTCTGCAGGATAAATATGGGCAATCACCTTCCATCCAATTTAAAGCCTCTGAAAAGGTGCTGGAGGGTCAGCTATGCATTGGTGCTAACTCTACGGCACATAACGACACAGGGCTTCCAAGTCTGTTAATTTCATGAGAGCAGACCTCTTCATCTGCCTTCTGCAGAGTGGCTGGGGAAGGACTCAAACTGGTGCGCTTTAGATTAGCAGTCTTAACACTTCATTGTTGGTGCTGTGTACTGTAGAGGCAGAACACGACCCTTAGCTGACCCTCTCGACCCTTAGCTGACCCTCTCGAGGGTTTTCAAAGGCAGTTTGCATGGGAGGAGATTGCCCATCCTTCTCCCGCAGAGCAGCTGGTGGCCTTGAACTGAATGCCTTTGGGATTGCAGCGCAGCTTCTTGCCACTAGGCCACCAGAGCGCTAAGACTTAATTAGGTCTATTTAAATCCATTATACATTTCTTTAAGTATAAAACAGCCATAGGGAGCGCTGGTGGCTCAGTGGTATGGAGTGCACTGTCAACCTAAAGGAATACAGTTGGAATTTGCCAGATGTTTCGCAGAAGAAAGATGGGCAATCTTCTCCTGTGTCACTTACTCTAAACACTTACTGAAGGATCAGCTATGAGTCGGTTCCAACTTGACAGAACACAACATAACAAAAACCTCTGTATTCTAAACACAGATTTGCAAATTGTTTAATAATTTACTTAACTTTAAATCATATTCAACTCTGCATTTTTCTCCTGTGGAGTGACTGGTGGATTCAATCTGCTGACCTTTTAATTAGCAGCCTTGGTAACTTTATTAAGCACGTTTAAATCCATTACACATTTCTTTAAGTATAAAACAGCCATAGAAATTCACAAGGCATTCAAACCCACACTTCTCTTCAGATCAATCTTTATCACATTTAGATACATATCAGATAAATCAATATATGAATAAACTGAGGTTATAAGTGACATATACATTATTATGAAAATATGCACGAAATAATCACAGTGCTAATAACAGTAAAAGGGCCTTCCAGTGACTGTTATTGGTGATAATTTTCATATAGCCTCTTGTGTCAGTAGCTTATATCCTATTATTAATAATGCCATATTATCATAATCTATTAACTTTAAGACGTAAGAGAAATTAATCTCCAAGAGTGCTGAATTATTACAATGCAGCATTTCTCTTGAGATTAATTAGACGTATAAGAAATATCTTTTTACCTTGTGTGACTTTCATTGATATAAATAACATTCCGCAAACCCAACGACGGGATACTGGGGTTGAAAAATTTCTCCTACGTGAAACAAAATAAACAGAGACATAAACATACAACTGGACTCATGGTAAAGAGCTGATGTTACCAGTTCTTAATGACTTAAATTTCAAATAAGTCAGCATTGCTTCACAATAAAGAAAAATTATTTTATTGGCAAGCACAGTTTAGCCTTCCATGAGGATCACAAATTCACAATCAATACTTAAAACCTTGCAAAGAAAACAGTGCCTTTCCGTCCCCACCTATCATCCCATCCTGAAAAAGAGAGGAAGTTACAGGTAACTTAAGTCATTGGCAGGAACATTGGAGATTTCAGTGTTGCTAAAGACTATGCTACGGATGGCGCAGTTATTAAGAGATTACCAAATCCATAATAATCCTGACACACAATAATTATTAGCCTTGTTTCTGAGATAAGAAGAAGCTGGCCAGGGTTTCGGATTCAATCCCAGCTCTTTTTCCAAAGAACAGGCTCCTGTCACTATCTAAAATGAGTGCCCACTTAGCAACCAAATATATGGCTGATGGATGGCCTGCCTCTTTCCAGGTAACTGAAAAAAATAATCCAATCAGAGCTCTGCTGAAAACAAAGGGTATGGCCTTATCACGGTATGCAGAAAGGTAAGCTTCTTACAAATAAAGGCTGAGAAAATATAGGCCCTCAACTAAAAGAGTAAAGATACATGAAATCTCTTTAAAGAGAAAAAAAAAATAAGATGTCAAGAAAGAGTAGCAAATAAAAGTTATGGTAAAAATATGTTCAAGTGAAAATTATTTTAAATGAACAGCTACTGAAAAAAGGCAAAATTCAACTTTATCAGGCAACTATATTTAGGCAAATATCAGTTATCTGTTATATTCACCATCTATCTCACTCCATATTTTTATTGGACTTATGAAAAACATAGGTAATGTGTTGTTTTCATCTTTTAAATATTCAAAATTAGAATTAGACGAAAGGTTGGATTTTTTTTAAAGTCACATGACCTTTTCTTTAACTCTTTATTTCCATTGGTCTTTTAATCGAAACTGGCCTTGCTCCTAGACTAGCAATTTCCACATTCCTTCAATAATACCAAATTCTTACCAAAAAACCCTTACGATTTTAAAGGAACAATAATTCTAACAAGATGTTCTTGAGCAAATCTGAACATTTAACAAAAACTGCTTGGGTTCCATATAAATCTCGCCTATGTTAGTAAATCTTTCACCCCATACTAAGAATCCTACCTCCCGCCAAGCCAAATGTGAACAGAAAATTCCCAGAGCCCAGTAAACTATTCTCACAGGTAATGGGAAACTTGTATTAGTAATAGGCAATTAAAGGGCAGAATTTCTCCATACTACTCACCAACCAAAGACAGAATTTAGAACTATCAATAATTATTAATTGAAAATATACAGGGTTTTTTTAAAAAAAAAACCACCATAAATGGTGATTATATGAATGGACCTCACTGGATTATATGTGATAGACTACACTGGAATCAGATTGACTGTGCCTGTAGGAAGAGTCAAAAAAGAAGCTCAATATCAACAGTCAAAACAGTCAAAGGGTCCACAACAGCTAAAATGTGACCTTGAGTCAATCCCAAAATATTTTAAAACCACCCCAAGAATAGATTTGATGCACTGAACACTAAAGGTTGAAAACCAGATGAGTTATGGGATGACATCAAGGATGTTGTCTATGAAGAAAGTAAAAAGAAGGGAAGCTCTGGTGGCCTAGTGGTAAGGAGCTGCAACTACAATCCCAGAAGCGTACGGTTCGAATCCACCAGATGCTCTGCCGGGGAAGGAGGGACAATCTCCTCCTGTACCAGTCAGATCTGATTTGACGGTACACTCACACAGAAATAATAAAATAAAAATTAAAAAAAAAAGAAAGAAAGTAAAAAGAGGCTGCAAAGACAAAAGAAAAGGAAAAGACCAAAACAAATGCCAGAAGACTCTGAAGCTTGCACCAGACCATTGAGAGGTCAAGATGAAGGGAAGAAACAGTGAAGTAAAAGAGACGAACAGATGACTTCCAAAGGCTGCTTAAGAAGACAAAGCCAAGCATTTTAACTAAATGCATAAGGAGCTGGTGTTAGAAAACCAAGAGTAGAACATGCTCAGCATTTCTCAAGCTGCAAGAATTGAAAAAAACAAAGTGAAGACTCGAGTTGTGATACTGAAGGATTCTACGAGCAAAATACCGAATGATACAGGAAGCATCAAAAGATGGAACAGATAAGTACACAGTTATTATATCAAAACCAATTAGTTAACACAAACATTTCAAGAAGTAGCATATGATCAAGAACCAATGATAATGAAGGAAGAAGTGAAAACTGCACTGAAGGCATTGGCAAAAAATAAAACGGTAGGAACTGACAGAATAACAAGGTGTTTCAGCAAACAGATGCGCTCTGAATGTTCTCACTAGCCCATGCCAAGAAATCTGGAAGACCTGGCTAACAGACTGGAAGAGATCCAAATTTGTCCCCATCTCAAATAAAAGTTATCCAACAGAGTAAATTTTTGAAAACTCTCAAAATACATCATTAATATCTCATGGAAGCAAAATCTTGCCAATATCTTAATACTTGCAAGTATTAAAAAACATCTGGAGTGCTCGCTACGGCAGCACATATACTAAAATTGGAACGATACAGAGAGGATCAGCAAGAAGTGTTCCATAAAAAAACAAACAAACAAACAAACAAAAGATCTGGAAGCATACATAGACATAGATTTCCAGAAATCCCAACTGGATTCAAAAGAGGCCACGGCAATAGAGTTATCACTGCTGATGTCATATGGACCTTGACCGAAAGAAGAAAATACCAAAAAAGATGTTCACTTGTGTTTTATTGATTATGCAAAGACTGTGTCTGCGTGGAGCATAATGAGTCATGGCCAGGACTGGGAAGAATGGAGATTCTTGAACACATAATACACACAAATATGGACCAAGTAGTTTTCCAAACCAAACAAGGGTACACCGCATGGTTTAAAATCAGGCAAGTGTGTGTCAGAGCTGTATTCTTTCTTCATATTTATCCAATCTGTACGCTGAGCAAATAATTCAGGAAGCTGGACAAAAATATGAAGAGGAATGTGGAATCAGGATTGGAGGAAGACTCATCAACAACCTGAAGCACTTACTGAAGAAGATCAAAGACTATTACAGCCTTCAATACGGATTACATCTCAACATCAAGAAAACAAAAGTCTTCTTCACTAGATCAATAAGCAGTATCATGCTAGGTGTAGAAAAGATTGGAGGCATCTTACATTAAGGAGATATGCCGTTTAGGATCTCTCCTAAAGTGCAAAAGCAAAAGCCAGTTTAAAGAGGGAAGTGTGCCAGATCCAAGGCAAGGTATTTTCATTTGCCTCCTCTGCATATGAAAGTTGGGCAATGGGAGCTCTGGTGGCCTAGTGGCAAGGAGCTGCAACTACAATCCCAGAGGTGCACGGTTCAAATCCACCAGATGCTCGGCCGGGGAAGGAGGGACAATCTCCTCCTGTACCAGTCAGATCTGATTTGATGGTACACGCACAAACACAAATAATAAATTAAAAAAAAAAAAGAAAGTTGGGCAATGAATAAGGCAGACCAATGAATAGTCAAGACCTTTGAGATGTGGGGTTGGCAAAGATTACTGAATAGTCCGTGGATGGCCAATATCCCAAGTCTGTCTTGGATAGAATGTAATCAGTGTGCTCCTTCAAGGCAAAGGAGACATTCCGTACTTGGCGCATGTGGCCAGGAAAGGCGAGTTCTTGAAGAAAGACATCATGCTGAGAAATGTGGAAGTCCAAAGAATGAGAGAGAGATACTCCATAAGAGTCAATCTTCTCAACTGCCATAAAAAGCATCCTCTTTCTCTAATCAACTCTTCCTCCAAATCTATCTGGTAATACGGAACTCTCTGCAAAACTGGTGCTAGGGGTTTTGGTTTTTTTTTTATCAAAACACAAGTAACACACACATCTTTTTCTTAAACCTTCATGCTAATATATTAGTGACATCCTTCACTACCACAAAGTCAACAGAGAACCTTAGGAACAAAATGTAGTAAATGGAAGAGCAAAGTTAAAGCCACAGCTTTAAATGTTTATTCTGTCTAATTGGCTCTCCCTCGTCTCGCTGGGATCTTAAAAGTTATGTGCTATATAAGGTAAGGCCACATCTAGAAGGTACATGATAGGGTTCCACCGACTCTTTGGAAATTAACTGAAAGAAAGATCTACTGTTTCCTTAAAGTAAATGTCGTGCCATATCAAAGTCAAAGTCTGAAGCACAGGTCACTCACTTTGCTCTGATCTTGAAAGGCAAAAGCAGTAGCAGTCTTACCCAGCTCTGAGGTGTGCAGGAGTAACAGCATCGGCCGACAAAGGGCCTCTTCCGGCCCATCAGGCTTTCCTTCCACTTTAAAGTTGCAGATCTGAAGACAGTAGGTCTGAAACTATACTCACCCTAGTAAATCAAAATAATCATCATCATAATCATCTAAATGGCAAGAGTATTTTTGTCTATTTGAATGCTAAAACTAAGACTTTCTGATAAACAAAGGATAGTAATCACATATGTCATGTATTTGTTATGCTGATAGGGCTGGGGGATATCAGAAAACATGTGACTTCTGAATGGGATTCATGCTACAATTTATTTACTATTTTAATTAATACTTCCACAAAATTCATATTTCTTTTAAAATAATGTATGAAACTTAGATGCTGAGGGGAGAAAAACTTTCATAATTACCCTGCTCAAAAGCAAGGAGTAGTAATATTTTGGATTATTGGTTTTCTCCCCCTTATGCAAAAGTGTTGTGCTTTTTAACATAATTACCAAGTATCAATTTTGTGCTCAATTTTTACTTCCTGATTAGAATGATGCATTACTTAAAAAAACCCTTATTGCCCTAAAGTGGGAACCAACTAAGAACTGACCCTCCAGGGAGTTCCCAAGGCTGTAAATTGCATGAGATTGTCCAACCGCCATTGGTGGATTCGAATTGGCAGAGAGGCACAACCTATCCGGCTGACAGCACAACTCCCTATGCACTAGGCCTCCACAGCTCTCTAATATAATGTGTACAATTTCTTAAATATCTTCTTAAAGTTCATAAATATAGCTGCTGTGGGCTCTGTAATTATGAGCCTTTAATTGCTACTATGTTGCAATTAATGTTTCAACCATCATTAACAGTATCAAAATGAACATCTTGAAATGGAATTCTTTTACACGCTCTTCAACTTACCCATTCCTCACTTGCATGCTTACATCGACCAACGCTGTATTCAGATGAATTTGGCAGGTAAGAAACGTCTATTGTACCAAGGTTCAATGCGGACTCGTCCATGTCACAAAGAGTAACTTCCAAATCATGTGCTATAAAAAAACAAACCACGTCCCATTTAAATGCATCCAGCGTGGTAATCTCAAAACTCAGATTTCTGACTTCTACACTATTTTGCTCCATAACATAGTATCAAGAGAACACTAGCAGACTCCCATATAATATTGAATCAAAGTATAGAAACTAATTTGTGATTACATTGTCTTGTACAAAGAGAAAGACAAATGAATAACTTTTGTATCCTTGGGTTCCTGAACCTAGATTAAAACAAAACAGCTATTAGTAGTCATTTGCAGAGGTATTTATCAACAACCCAAGTGCCTTTGAGTGGATTCCAATTTATAGCAACCCCATGTCTGTCAGAGAAGAACTGTGCTCCACAGGTCTTCAATGACAAATTTTGGAAGCAGAACACCAGGCCTTTACTCCAAGGTACCTCTGGGTAGGCTCAAAGCTTTGGGTTAGTGACCAAATGACACCACACAGGAGATTACAAGTCTAAACAATGATTTATTTCAGGTATACAATCAAGAATTATTTCACTGTATTAAATTAATATGGAAAGGAGGTTTGTGCTTATTTAACAAAATATATGTGCACAAAGTAGATGATTTTAAAAATTATGTATTAGGAATGTTGCATTGTGCATGCTTTTCACTGTAAAATGGGTAAAGATAATAAGGAAACTTCTAAAGTTTTCCACCTAAACTGAATTAAGCTCTTAATTTTTTCTTTTCTCTTTTTTTATTATACTAGTTTATTTAAAACAGTTGAATACATTGATTTCCAGAATAGATCCTTCCAATTTCCCTCAGTCTCCACCCATCAAATTGTACAAATTTTAATTTTTATGATGCCTTTTGACTAAAACATTTAGAATACTAGACAATTTAGAACAGTTTATACTTTTAACACATCCAAAGCTCAAAAATAAAAGCACACTATTTTGACTCATATTTTCACCATATTCAGAAAGTCTTCCTTAACTGTTAATGAAAAATGTATACGAACAATGAATTCTTAAAGAGGCTATTCAACAAAAATATAAAGCTTCCCAACATAATCTCTACTGTCGAACTGTTTTTAGCTTTTGCTCAATTTTCATTTGGCCTCAATTTATTCTGTAAGGTCACATCCAGATTAATAGTGCTCCCTAGATAGTGTATCCTGACTTCTTTATAATCCCTGTATGGATTTGCAGGATTTAACCGTTATAATCTACATAACTACACATCTTTTACAATATAGCATAAGTAGCAATTTAATACAATAGGAGAGAGGGCAAGATTATAAAGCAATGTACCTAGCTTGAAAGTTCTATTCTTTAAATGGTATTGCAGCACTCAGCTATGAGTTTGAGTGTAAAATATCCCTACAGCAGGGGGAGCTCTCTGCTGCATGAATATGGAGAGGCGGTGGGGCAGGGGTAATGGAGGAAGGAGGGGAGGGAAAAAAGATTTGTGCCAATAGGAAGTCTACTTGTGGCTACTCATCCCTCCCCAGCGGGTTACTCAAGGTCATAGAATTTAACACACACACACACACACACACACAAAATCAGAAAATGGGCTGTATTGAGCAGTCTCTCTCTCTCTCTCTCTCACACACACACACACACACACACAGACAGTGGGCTGTAGTGAGCAGTCTGACGGTTCTAAAAGGGCCAAGAGCAGAAGGGTGATGCCTGAGGTTACATAAATCCGCCACAACTTACAAACTACATGACTTTGGGCAAGTTGATTAACTTCCATGCTTCAGTTTACCCTTCTGGAAAATGGGAATAATAATATTTTTCTCCCCTCCACCTGGGTTATTTATTTAGAGAGTTGGATAATACAAAACGCCTAGCCAAGGGTCTGACATACAATGAGTGTTAGGCCAACCAGTGGTGGCAGCTGTCACTGGATCAAACACAGCACCAGCTGCTCTTAAGGCATCTTGACTGCCTCAACATCAAAAAACAATACCCCCAGGACCTGGAGCTGGGGATGCCCTCTCGTCTCGCTTAAGAGCCAGAGTCTATCAGACTGTCTTCCCCTCCCACAGGGGGCAATCATGCTGCAGCCGAGGTTCCCCTGGGACGCAGCAATCCCGACCCGACTCCGCCAGAGGCTGGCCCATGTCTAGGGGGGCACAGCTAAGAGGAGGAGAGAAGGGGGATCCAGGCAACCCCCCGCGTGCAGGAGCCCGCCACGACCTGGAGAAGGGTGAGCACGCACCTGTCGCGGTGCTCCCGGCACTCTCCGTGCTCCCGGCAGCCTCCTGCAGCCTGTGCCCGCCCGCACCCGCCCCTGCAGCTCACAAACCAGACTCGCTCCAGTTTCAGCTGCTGCAGCTGCTCTCACTCCAAGTGGCCACCCGGCGCCTGCTGCAATGTCGCACCCTGATGACGCAACTGGCGCACCGCAGTGACTGGATGCGAGCGAGCTCCGAGGATGGAGAAGAGGCAGGACAGGCTGGCCTCGCGCTCCAGAAGCTGAAGCCGGGGGCGGGGCCGGGGCGTGTCTGGGGCGAGG